TGAGGTGGCGAGTGAATAGTCAGGCTGGAACCTTAACCTGGGCCCTCTGTCTCTGGGGTCCCCACTCTACTTGGGTGTGCTGGAACGCACCCGCCAGCCACCTCAGTAAGAAGTAACTATTCACCATAAAATAACCAAGTATAGCTTTTAAAAATTAGGTTCAATACAGAGAAATCTAGCAGTGCTCCCCAGATGACAATACCATACTCTGAAGTATTATATTAATCCCACCCCTGAAATGCGCAGCACCTAATGCTACACACCCCCAGCTGATGAAGCCTCAAGAAATGAGACAAAAGCTCCTTCACTGAGGGTCATGACCTAGCATGCTGTATGGTGAACAGTCCTGTTCCGTTTACCATAGTGTCTTTAAGGTCACTGTGGCTTCTTTCCAACAGCAATTATGATTTCATGCTTTTTTCTAAGAAACAGAGATTTGCATTTACCCCACAGCATCTAGGGCATTGCCTTGCACACTATCAGTGGACAATGAAAAACTGTTGAATACATACGCAACCAGAAGAGAAACCCAAGTGGTGTTTAAAACGTCTCTAAATGAGGTTGGCAGGTGGAGTAGTGGCTAAGGGTGCCAGACTTCCACATGGCTGACTATGGTTCGAGTCCTGGACCTGGCAGCTTGCTTTTTCACTGTCTCTCTCTCTGTCCCTCTCTGGTCAAATTGAAATGAATAGAGTAAAATAAAATAATTCTTAAAAAAAAAAAAGAAAAAGAAAAAAAAGAGAAGTCTTTAAATGCTGTCCATAGCAGAGAACATTAATCTGTTAAAGAAGTGCTTTTTCTGTGGTAGAGGTTTTTGCCTCAGGGCTTGTATGCTCACCGGGGTTGAGAAAGAGAGAGACAGAGACAGTGAGAGGGAAAGTTAGAAATCACTCCCCAGGGGGCATGGCCATGCTGCAAGCCTTTCTCCTCCAGTCTCCTCCTTGGATCCTGGGCATGCATGCACATGTGTCGGTGTGTTTCAAGTCACTGGGTCTGGGACTTGAACCGCAGTTGGCCATGTGGGAGTCCAGCAATGTAACTGCTACATCTGTAACAGCCATCTGCTGGTCCCAGAAGTGATTTTCAATCAAAATCTGTAAAACCTACGTGTGTTCGAAAGGTAAAAGTAAGCCTCCTGGTTGAAGCAGGGGGGCTAGCTGCCTCACCTGGCCGCCCCATCCACCTGTTACCCCAACCCCTAGGATAGCCTCTTAAGAAAGCTATGGACAGAGCCCAAGGACCCTGCAGACCTGACCATGAAAGGCTCTAACTACATGAAAACAGCTCTTCCACATGGCAACAAAGTAGCATTCTGCTGCTGGTATACCAGCTACTCCGATTTCTAGATCAGAGTTTACTCTACTGGGGGTTCAGCTGCGATATGAACTTCAGTCTCTCACCTGGATTAATATCCTAGTCCACTTAGCAACCTATAATCAATATCCAACGTGGGTGAAATTATAAAAGCTTAGAGATGACAAGCCTCAGTAAGATGCATAAAACTATAGGGCTGACCCTGTTGCCCAGGAGTTAAGGGAGCCAGAACCCACATGGCAGACTGTGCTTTCAATCCCAGCCCGTTTACTGTCCTCCGGATCCACTGAAGACTGTGCTGGGCATGTGTGTCTACGTGGCCAAAGTTCTGACAGGATGGAGAAATGGGGTAGATGGGATTGTGGCATGTCTATGCCTCATTGGGGGGTGCTTTCTCTAGTGAGTGCATATACCCTTTGGCAATTAGAGAAATACACAAAATTATAAACCCAAGTACTAACATCTCTTTACTTTAATCTTAATAGGATGTGCTTAAATATATAGTTAAAATGGAAAAAAACCTGAACTCTCATTATTAACTATGTAGATGTATATATATACACACAGAGAGATTAACATATATGCAATAATATTAATTATTCATATTTACATGTATACACATATACTAATGTAGCATCTTTTGGAGAAAGGCACCTCAAAATCCAAAATGGAAATTTCCCAGCCAAACAGAAGCAACAAGGATGCGTGGCAAGAAGGTACTGAAAGGCCATTTCACTCCTCTGCCCCTTCCTCCCATCTCATTATAAGTGATGCTGTAATAAGAACGTCACTGAGTCAAGTGACAGAGCGCCTCCTCCTGAAAATGGACGTGAGAGCCTGCAGAGCAGCCCAAGGTGCGGTGGAATACTCTGCACCCTCCCTAAATTAGAGCTCAGTGCATACACAGGCTCACAGCCCAAGCCCTGTCCAGATGGGGCAGAACTACTGCTATCGAGACGGCCCATGCTGGCTTAAAACACCTGGGAGCTTCCTATCACGTGTGTTGGAACTTATCTTCAATTCTCTTTAGAGTGTAGTACTCGAGGTGTGTTCTCTGGGAGCATTGGCAGCATCTGGGAACTTTCTAGAAATGCAAACTCTCAGGCCCCACTGCAGACCTACCAAATCAGAAACTGTAATTTAAAAAAGTAATCCCAGGCATTTTTCAGTACCCCTTAAAATTTAAAAACACTACTTTTTAACTTAAATACACACACACACACACACACACACACACACACACACATATCATTATTCTATTTCAGGCCATACTTCCAGGCAGGGCAACAAGATTTTAGCTTTCAATGCTTGGGATCAACACTATATACATAATTTCACCTCTGAGGTCCAAGTGAATACAGGAAAGGGAAAAACCAAGCCAAACAGCACCTCAACAGAGACTTGAGCTGGTGGTTTTGCAGTAGCTATG